AACTTGGGTCATTTTCTACTGCTTTCCCAGGCCATAGCAGAGAGGTGGATTAAAGTAGAGCAGCCAGGACTTGAGCGGGTGCCCATATGAGATGCTGGCACTGCAGATGGCAGCTTTACCCGCTACACCACAGTACCAGCCCTTAAATAAATAAATCTTAAAAAAAAAAAAAACTTAAATGATTTCAGCAAATTAAATTTCCAAATGAGGACACAAATTGTTCCTTCTTGATAGGTTTTTATGATGGGATTAGCAAATCTTTAATTTGATCCTGGATTTTTAATACTTGCTTTTTGCTTTATTTTTCCCTTTGTTTCATATGCTTAATTTAAGCTCATAGATGGAGTCTGTGTAAGACAACACTCTGGATAATTGACTTTTACAGATCAGATAATGTAAGTCTAGCCTTATAACAAAATGTTTCAAGTAGTGTTATTAATAAAGCTTATTTATCAAGTAGTGATGTTAGGACCCCTTATTTAGCATTAAACCACAGCTTGTGGTGATGTCAGACTCTCTGGAAGCCCCTTACTGTCCACCTCCCTTTACCTTCCAGGAGCTGGATGAAATGGGAAGATGGACATTTGCTTAACTAGCAAACATTTTTGCATGAGAATGAGGCAGCTTTAGTCAATTCCCTTCTCACAGGGCTCCTGGCTTGCTTCTGCTGACCCGGAAGGGCCTAAGGGACAGGGTCATCAGTTGAGACAGGGACTAAACTGCTCAGTGTGGAAGTGGAATGACTTCTGCTATAGCTTAGGAAGCTCCCTGAATTGCCCACTTGCTCTTTTCCTGGTTTTAATCATAGAATGGTTCTAGCCTTTACTCAAATAAAGACAAATAAACGTGCAACAGGTGAGGAAAGAAAGATACAAGAACAGCAGAACTGAAGAATATAAGCAGGGATTGATCCACAGCTTACAGGGTGAGAAAGAGGGAAAATCAAGAAGCAGTGTGGTATGGTCATTCTCAAGAACCCTACAGAGACTCAAAGCCACCCCTGTACTCTTACCAGCCATGGGATCATGGTGGAGACTAAAATATGCCCTGTGTGCAAAGATCCCAGCTCTGTGCTGGTCCACAGGAGCTGCAGGACCACATGGGTTTTTCCTACATATCGTCCTGGGAGCCGGGAAACACAAGACTAGCATGCTTTTACACTGGTGGAGAAGGTAATCTGGGAAAAACAGCTGAGTGTGTGTATGTGTGTGTGCATGTGCACATATGAATTTAAAGAAATGAAATTCTATTAAAATCTTCATAGATCCAATCTCAAGGAGTTATAAATGGACCCCAGGCCATTATATGCTTAGTATTTCTCTTTTTAGAATTGTGGCAAGTCTGGGCCCGGCGCCGAGGCTCACTTGGTTGATCCTCCGCCTGCGGCGCTGGCATCCCATTTGGGTGCAGGTTCTAGTCCCAGTTGCTCCTCTTCCAGTCCAGCTCTGCTGTGGCCCGGGAAGGCAGCGGAGGATGGCCCAAGTCCTTGGGCCTCTGCACCCATATGAGAGACCAGGAAGAGGCTCCTGGCTCCTGAATTCAGATCAGTGCAACGCCAGCCATGGCGGCCATTTGGGGAGTGAACCAACGGAAGGAAGACCTTTCTCTCTGTCTCTCTCACTGTCTATAATTCTACCTGTCAAATAAAAAAAAAAGAATTATGGCAAATCTGAAAATGAAGAGATGAAGAGCAAAAAATCTAGAGAAGAAATGGACTTAATTAAAAAGTTCCTACCAAAAGTGACTTGCACATATTCAATAATAGAGAGTTATGGACTGCCTAAATGTTTACCAGATTAAGAGTTAAAAGGATAAAGAAATAAATACAGAGGTAGAGTTCAAGCTCACAGTGGCCCCAGTATCCGCTAGTTAAAATGTATACAAACCATGATTTCTGCATAAGATGATAGAAGTGACAGAGACGGGGCTGGAAACCTGAAGACTTGTGTCCTGCGGTGAGTTCTAATTTTGCTAAGCATGATCAGATACACAAGATCAAGGTCTAGACCCGCCACTTACTTTTATGGTGTCAGGATTTTTTTTTCTACCCCCTTCCCCTGACATACCACATTCTACTTTCTGGGACTTTTTTTCTTACTATTTCTTTTCTTTTTACATTTTTTACATCTCCAGTTTCCTATAGGCTGCAAGTACAACTGGGAAGCACCTACAGAGATAACATTTCTAACCCTGCCAAGTTTTACCTCTCATGTTATTCCTCTCCTCCTATTGTTCCTTGCTGTGTTTTGCTGCTAGTAAGCTTTCAATCGATTCCCACAGAAGTGTTAACTCATAACCAAGGTGTTAACTATCCCAAGTGTCCATTATCTGAGCACCATTTAAATGTTCAAGACGGGGTCTTTGAAGACCCATTAGGTCACACAGAGAAACATGCAGAGAAGATTTCCCCATGATCAGTAGCATCCCAACACTACACTTCAGACTTTCACTCTCTACCCACATTCCCAGTCACTTTGCCTAGACAGCGGCAATGGCCTTGGTAGGAGAGGCCTGAGGATCAGTGGAGGATGACCTGGACCATCCCAGAGCCACAAAACCTCAAAGGAAATAGGCCCAGCCTACCTCTTATTGCTTCAGAATTTCATATTTGTGATTTGCTTGTACATCTTATCTACTACCAGATCTGGAGTTTAATGCTCTATGAGATGCTTCCCCACCCCCACAAGATTCAGAAAATAATTATTTGTTCTTCAAAAACAAGTTTTTACACTTATCAGCAGTCCTCATGGAGCTGCCTTGTTGGAAGTTGTTAGCGAAAGTCAGATGTGAAAAGATTCTATAAGCAAGTAGAGAAAGCAATGAAATAAGAAGGGTCTTCTAAAAGCTTATGGAAAGTGCATAATGGAAAAAACTATGCATCCTTCCAAAAAATTCTGCCTCCAAATAATTTGCATTTTCCATAAATTTTGGAAGTAAGCACATCAACGATTTGGTGGAGGAGAATATAAACATAAATATATGTGCTTCCATAATTCTCAAAGTGAATGTTAGTCTTAGATGGCATCATATATTTATGCTAAAATACATAACGGATGCTGAAGAGGGTGTGTGTGAAAGCATCGTTCCTCATCAAATACTTCATGGCAAATAGCATACCTCTCCTTGCAAGGTAGCTTATACAAGGTAGAGGCTTAGTTTAATTGAAGAAGTACTGACTTCCGCCATGCAGCAGGGCTTCACCTAAGGAACAATGTCTACGTTTTCCATGTTGGCTTCAAATGATAAAATAATAAGATTTTAAAATACGACGAACTATTCTTATTGAATTGAGAACAAAGGACTTTGTCAAATATTGGGGTGGAGAGGCAAGAGTGGGCTAAACAGGTAGGGCCAGGGCAGCAGTAGCAGTGATGGTGGAGGATGAACCTATTATTATCTTAATGAGGCACAAAGCAAGATCTCAAAGATGCTAACATACACAGCACAGCTCTGTGACCAAGCTAATATAAATGTCCTTGGAGAATTTACACATTAGTGTCCTGACAGTTATCTTGTGTGTGTTTCTGTCAACCAGGGATTCTGTGGGTTTCTGCTATAGATTCTGTGTGTGTGTGTTTTCTTTAATTCATCAGAAGAGAAATAGGAAAGTTGAGGAAAACACTTCTTTTCTGAGTTGAATAGCCATTTCTTTCCTATCATGTATGCTACATTTTTAAACATCCTGGATGCGAAACTTGAAATGAACATTACTCATTGTGTTTGCTATTTTAACATATCTTGACAAATGTCACCTCACAGAACATGGGAGTAGATGGTATTGGTGCCATCCAAGTAGCTCCTGAAGTTGGGAAGCTACAGGAAACCTGTGCGGTTCTTGGCTTTGGGAGATGTAGTTCTGCCTGAAAAACCTATTAAGTCCACTCGAGATTCATAACATTATTGCAGTGTTTCAGCTTCCAGAAACCTCTGGATTTACATGGGCTATTCACTTTGCCCTAAAACTCTAAGTACCGGGAGAGTCTTGGTCGCGCTCCCCTTACAGGGAACTGATGACTGGTTTCCTTCTGGCTTACTGGGAGATGTAGAGAAGGCAGGGAAAACTAAATATGTTGTCAAAGATGGGGGGGGGGGGGGTCGTGTCGTGTCAAATGCGCGTTCAAGGGCTGCAAATGGTCTGCTTACCTCTCCCAGGGGAGACACGGGAGACTTGTCCAGCCTTGAGTCAGGTTCTAGAACGTCCAATGCACTCGCCAAGGAACAAGAAAAAACAGCCAAACCCTAAAATCCCTCCAACCGTCTAGGCTCGTGCTCAGCCAGCTAGAAGTTCACGGCCAACTTTGAATTTCCTGAAATGAAGCAGGGCTCCCAAGCGCCTACATGTGGCCTAGCTTTCAGGGGCAGAGTCGGCCCAGGCTGACAGGAGAGCGAGTCGCGGGGATCCTGGCTCGGCGATGCCAAGTTCGCCTCCGCTTTCCCACTCCCTGCCTTTCCTCGCTCGCACCTGCACGGTAGGGGCAACCACGGGGCGACGGGGCGCGCTCGGGGCGCCGCCGAGGACTCCGGAGCGGGAGCTCCCGCACCCGCGCGCGCCCGGCGCCGCCCGCCCGGAGGCCGGGGCTGCTGCGGGCGGGCGGGGAGGCGGGGGAGGGCGCGGGGGAAGCGCGGGGAGTCGGCGCGCGCGAGCGCGGCGCGCGGGGGGAGGCGGCTGCGGAGCGCGCGGGGCGCAGGGCGCGGAGTGGCCGGCAGGAGACGGCGGCGCGTGAGGCGGCTCCGGCAGCAGCGCCCGCCTGCATTTCCAGCGGGAGGCTGCGAGCGCAGTCCCGGCTCGCCGCAAGGTGAGGTGCGGGGAGGCGGCCGCCTGCCGGCGCGGGGCTGCTGCCCCCCGACCCCTGCGTGCTCGCGCGTGGGCGTGCGGTCTGCGGGGAGGGAGCCCCCCATGCCCCCCGCTCACCCCCAGACCCCGCTCGTCTCCTCCCCCGCGGCGCCCGCACCCCTCCGCTGACCCCGGCCCCCGCCCCCGGTTGTGTCTCCTCTCCCAGATGCTCAAGGTGTCCGCCGTACTGTGCGTGTGTGCAGCGGCTTGGTGCAGTCAGGCTGCGGCCGGGGGGCGTTCGGACGGCGGTAATTTTCTGGATGATAAACAATGGCTCACCACCATCTCTCGGAAGTCGGACAGTGGAACAAATTCCGAGACGTGAGTGCTGCGCGCCCCCCTCACCCCACCGCCACGACCCCCAGTCCCCGGGCACGGCTGGGGTGGGGGAGTGGGCTCGGGCGGAGCGGGGCCGCTCTCCGCCGCCCCGCCGGGGAGAACTTGGCGGCGCCGGGCCGGGCCGGGCCGGCTGGGAGGGTGGGTGGGCGCCCAGCGCCCCCGCAGCCCCCCGAGGCTTGCAAAGTGCGCGCCCCCCTCACCCCACCGCCACGACCCCCAGTCCCCGGGCACGGCTGGGGTGGGGGAGTGGGCTCGGGCGGAGCGGGGCCGCTCTCCGCCGCCCCGCCGGGGAGAACTTGGCGGCGCCGGGCCGGGCCGGGCCGGCTGGGAGGGTGGGTGGGCGCCCAGCGCCCCCGCAGCCCCCCGAGGCTTGCAAAGTGCGGGCTGCACCTTCCCAACTTTTGAGTGCGATTCCGGGGCCCGGTAAATGCAGCGGATGCGCCGAAAGTCACCGGGGTCCATCCCCGCCGTGCACTGAGTGGTTCAGTGAGGAATCCGCTGGGAGAGGGACAGATGTACGGGTTGACGGACGCCCGGCTCCCCGGGGGTGGGAAGGTGGTCAGTCCGCACCGGTCGGTCGGCAGAAGTTGAACTGCCCCCTCACGCCTTAAAAATCGCCGATCCGGTCCGAGTGTCATCCCGAACCCGTTCGCCAGGCTCTGGAACCCGGGCTCATTCCGAAGGGGAAGCTGGCAGGTGGGGCGGGGGTCGGCCAGGAAAGGGTTAAACGGTGGGCTCTCCCCACCGCCCCAGCCCCAGCACCGGGGCGCTCCGTCCGTCCGGGGTTGTGCGGACCCCTCCGGGAGGCCCGCGGTGCGAACCCGAGACCGCGACGTCGCAGCCCCTCGGTCTGCCCCTCAGCTTGGAGCCTGGCGGCCGGGGCGGGCGGCGCGGGTCCCCTGGACGCGCCCGGCTCCGAGGTCCCAGCCCCTCCGAGGGACACCCGCAGGCCCGACCCGGAGTCGGCCCGCGCCGCGGCACTGGGCACTGGCGGGGGTCTCCCGCGGGGTCCCGCTGCGGAGCCCCGCGCGCCTTAACTTCTCTCCTCCGCCCCGGCTCCCCCGCGACTTGGGGTCCCCCGGCCCCCCAGCCCTGCACTGGGCCAGGAAGTAGCCGACGAGCCCAGCCTGGGAGAGGGAATCCGCAGAAAATGGTCATTTTGACTTTAAGTGTAGGTGCAGCTGGTTGGTGCGTGGGCACCCAGGAGGAACAATGATGAAATACTGAATGAGGGCTCTGTCTTAGAAACAAAGCAGAGCCTAGTTTTATTGCTAACTGGATGCTCTTATAAAGAAAAAAAAACTCTTAGGCGTTTGTTTTGAATGTATATTAATATATATATTAGATATATGTATATATTTACAAAAAAGCTAGAGAGTGAGATATGTATAAACCTGGAGAGAATGTGTTCAGCATGCTCTCAGTGGGGGGAACATTGAAAATTTTGTCAGTATTAGAACAATATTTCAAATTTCAAGTTTTTTTTTATTTCTTGGCTGTTGAAATGTTTTTTAAAGGGAACTTTGGGCTTTCATCTTGAAAACATACTTTAAGATTTTAATGTGTTAGTGTTCTCTTACGTTGCTTCAGTTACTTTGTTGAATTATTAAGAGTGACCGGTCCACACTTGGGCAGTTTGTGAATTTGTTTGGTTTAAAGTATTGAGAAAAGTTGAGTTGTTTACTGCAGAACTTAGTACTCTACAGTTTGTGCAGCCAAACTGTATAGAGACAGACTAGTGGGTTGTTACAGCACTCATATTTTCAGATCTTCTATAGTGATCTCTGGGGAAAATGGTATGCAAATGTAAATAAAGGACTTAGGAGATACTTGAAGCAAATACGTTTGAAATATCTGCAATATATGTGACTATAAAAATGATTTATCTGAAACGCTTATCTCGGTTTCTCAGCGTTGCCGTTTCAGTAAGACAATTTCATTTTTATGAAGATGACTTTGGAGGTGGTGGAGAAATGAAGTGCTATCATTTTCCCCCTTGAGCCACCTGTTGCTTATTATTAATATGATAGAAGGCATGCTGAGAGCCTGGCTTCTCAAATACCAACACCGAGTAATTGATACAGAATCTATCCCAGAGTCATTAGCTTCATAATTTTTTGTGTACCTTCCAGGATGTTGTTTATCTTTTAGTTCCTTTTTAGATCAAACCAAATGATTGAAAATAGACTGCATTGCCTGTGAAACTACCTTGAAATGTTAAACCTGAGCATTTACCTAAAATAATGGATTTATGTACTCCGTCTGTATGAAGGCAAAGAAACAAGGAAATCTGAACCTCTCTGAGAAACAGTTTAGCTGAAGTACTTTTGCTTGGTCTTGTTCCATTAAAAAAGAATAGCTACTTTCATTTAGCAATAAAAGCTTCGGAAGATGCTTCAGCATAATTAATTCTGAAATTAGTACTTACCTTTTGTTTTTTGATTACATGCAAGTTTGAGTTGTCCCTTCTTTTGAATTCTATTTGAAAAGTCTCTTGAATGTTACTTGTTAATGCAACTCATTCTTATTTTGATAGAATGATTTTTAAAATATGGTATAATTTATATGTGATATAGATATATAAATCTGTTTATTTATAAGAAATCTTTGGGAACAAAGATAGGAAGTGTTAGGTGAGACATGGTGGATTTAGAAATTACTGCTGCTAATGTCTTATTTCTTCAGTTTCCTCAGAACAAATCACAGAGAAATAGTAAAATCAAACACAAGTCCTACAATAAGTGTTGACATAGAAGAAAACTTCAAACAATTTTCACCACTCCATACTAGAACCGTTCCTTGAATAAAAAGTTAACTTTAGTTTTTCTTCAAAATGCACAGTGTATACTATATATATTACATAGACATAGTTTTTATCCTTAGGAAATTACTAATATTCTTGGTTATTTGTGTAAAGATTGTAGTAAAGCTTTCATCTCCAAATTCTAGTTGAGATTTTAATCTCCATGTTTTAATAGAATTTGACTTAATCTAAAAATATAGAGAAATCAGCACATTGAAAAAGAAGTGCAGGAGGTAGAACCAGCATGGTATTTTCAAGCTATTAAGATATGATTTTTTAAGATAAATCCAAAAAAGCCTTGTCAACAATTGGGATCTGTTTGAGCAGATAACACTCGTTGTGTGCTACTTTAAATGATTCTAGCTCTTGTTAAGTTGTCTTAAAACCAAGAACTTGTGATTCCTCAGTGGGAGAAGTATGAGAGTACTACCGCCTTCTCCAAGGATAGGAGTGAAGGACTGTCTCGTCACATTCCTGCATACGTCTTAGAATTGGAAACCATCATCATTTTGAGGAACCTGATCATTACCTCAGACGGCATATATTACATATTTCCAACATTTATATTTTATAAAATCTATTAAACCATGTCCTTTATCATGTAATAAATGAGTAGAAAATTTGGAAGTCAGTGAATTAATTGGCACTGTCTGATGTAATGCTGTCATCAGTCTTATTCTTATATATTTTTACTTTCCTGAGGTACAAGTAGTAATTAAGAGTAGCAGAATAAGTAGAACAGGAGACACCCTTAAACACTGTGTGTTGGAAGCAATACTGTCACATAAAATGCTAGCAAAAGGAGCGATGATGGTCAGGCTTATTTTTAATAAATCATGTAATAAAATCAGGATTGTGGCAGTAAGTTGAAATTCAAGTAGTGCTAGATTTTTTTTTTTTCAATTAAAGTACCTGGCGCTCATTTGAACTTGGTTTTAAAAAATGGTTGCCATTATTGTTGCAAAACCCAATCAGCTTCAATTTACATTTATTCCCTAAGTGATTTTTAGTGCTCTTTAGATATATTGAAAGCACTAATAAAGCCCTACAATTTAACTTGCAAAATTTAACCTTAATGTAAGCTAAAGAATGTGTATAACATTGTAAAACTGAAAAAATATGGTTGGTGTGTCTCAGAGAAAGTCAAGTCACTAGAGGCCTTTTCAAAAATGCTTGATTTGAGCAGTAGTGAGTAAACCTTTTTTAAACTGAATTGAATAGAAGTAAACCTTTTAACTTCCTTTTTTCGTTCTCTGTGCTGTTTCATCTGAATTCAGGTTCCTGAGGGTACAGGTCATTAAGGGATAATAATGGCTG